ACTCCTTGGTGGCAAAGCAGTGGCAGGGTAGAAAGTGGAAAAGTCTGAATCGGAAAGGGCGCGGCCTTGGTGGAAAAGTCTGAATCGGAAAGGGCACGGCCTTGGCCGCAAGTTGAAACGACACACCTGCATTGCATTTGCAAGTGCAAACAGATATGTCTGAACACGGACGTATTCAACGCCCCACACGTTCAGCGCCCCATTGAGTGACTCACATGTGACAAAACAACTTTTATTTAAAAAAAAAAAAAAAAAACTTACAACAACAAACACACATATACGACATATGGACCAAGATTCAAGGACCACCAGCCTCGACACCAACTATGAATTGAGGTATGTCAAATATCCAATCCATCAATACCATACAAATTACCTTAATCCCACACATTCCAACATTAGCAGATGTGATAAACACAAACACCCTAAGTATCACACAAACACACAGGCACTAATCTTGACACATACACACAAATGCTCCTTTTTTGTCATGCAACAATCACCCTACTTCTAAACCTCACCAGTAATGCCTCCTTCATCAATCAAGCATATACAAACTACGGGCTGCGCACCCGTGTGCCCTCACGGTAAGTCGATCCAGCTATGGCTACTGAATATCGGCGTGCGACCCTACATGTTTCGGCCGGTCGCCGTACCGGCTTCTTCAGGGGTCGAATGTCGCTTGATCAACTACGTGCGATCTAAGTAACCTAAATACTAAGAGTTCTCTATGCAGTTGACCATCATCCGCCCCGCGTCCAGGCTTCCTTCTGAATGAACTTCAAAAAAGTGGACCCTACAACTAACGTACCCTACTGGCATCCTGGGCCTAACCCCGGCCCCAACATTGTCACACTTTCATCGAGCATTACCGAGAAGGCATTTCTCGAGCCACAAGAATTCCAGGCCCAATTCCAGGCCAGTTAACTGCTCAACACGTGTCCAGTACTCTATGCCCACAGACACACAACTTCCCGAAGAGCACTTACGGGATCAAATCCAATCCACAGAATTTTCCAGAATATTCCAGCCCAAACGAGGCTGCCGCCGTTATTACCGGCCCACTACAGGAAATAAGAATAAAGTTCAATAAACTGAGAAAAGTATAAAATTAAAAATATCACAAACAAGTATAGCAATACCGACATTTACCATCCCATAAAGGCATCTACCCATGTTCCCCATATTCCCCCCGTTCTTTTTGAAAAATTTATCGAGGCTTTTTATCAAACAGATCATCATGAAAACCCCTTTTCCCCAGCTAAATCTTAAGAGTAAGTAGAAAGGTGCCCTCCAGGCCCTCAGTTGTGGTCATTGCCCTGGCCTGATGGAGGAAGGAGGTTATCACAGCCATTTTCTGCTGCCTAGAGGAGAATGAAACGTAATCTTGCAGACTTTGGAACAAGCACGATCCCCCAAGAAGCAATCGCTGGTTCTTATGTGTCGCTGTCGATTTTCTGCATCTTTCCAACATTCTCGTCCGGATTCACGCGCTCAATCCAATCCTCTTTGTTAGTGGGACTTAGCCCAAGGTAGGCCACTGATGGTTGGTTGTCAGTCGTGAAGGTGGCGGATCCGTATACTGTAAAAAGAAGAGGGAAAATTGCTTCTGTACCCCACTAAAAGATGTAAAGTGTCCACCTTGCATCTATGCCCAGTTCCTCCTCAACTTCGGTCTGGACCCCACAGGCGTCTAGTTGGCGCAGAGGGTTTTTTTCAGACCCCACAGGCCGCAGGGAGCGGCCAGGAAAACTTTGGGCGGAACTTTCCACATAGGGTCATGATGGGAAATTCCTCCGTGGCACTCCAGTTTTGAAATATTGTGGCCAAACAACATGGCAACATGGTAGCCCCGAGGGTACCCTCTTTATTCAGCCATCCTGTGTGGAAAAGAGGCACAGGGGTTGGATGGTGTGCGAAAAAGAGAAGGCACACTTGCCTGAAAGGGCAAGTCTTCCTGTGCGGAAATCTGCTGTGGCAGTGGAGTCCCTTTTCTCTTGCGCATTCCCGACGGCTACAATGCTTTCCAGGCGCAAAGATACTGCGAGCCTGTGGGGTCCAGCCCTTATTGTAGTACCCTTCTATTCCCCTGTATGAAATTGTACACGTACCCGGGGCCCGCAGACCCCTGGCCAAGGACCGTCGAATTATGGTCATGCCCAGAAACAGGGCTGGCAAAATTGTGGTTGTATCCGCACAAAGATGGCATTTCAAAATTGAATTTGAGAGAGTTCAAATTGTGTGTGTGTGTGTGTGTCAGACAGACAGACACACAGATCTCTCTCTCTCTCTCTCTCTCTCTCTCTCTCTCTCTCTCTCTCTCTCTCTCTCTCTCTCT